CTGTGAGCCAATCATCAGCTGGCAGTCTGAAGGGCAGGGAAACAGCCCAATGAACATCACCGCAGAGGAGCCAATCAGCTAGATGTTGCTGGGGCCACTGTGAGCCAATCATCAGCCGGCAGCTGGAAGTTTGCTGGCAGCTGGAAGTTTGTTGGGGCCCCTTTGGCTGTGGCTCTCAACAATACACAACTAAAAAAAATATTTTTTAAAACCGCTATTGACATTAGCACTCTCAAAATTAAGTACTTGGGTATAAATCTAATAAAATGTGCAGAAGAGCTATATGAAGAAAACTATAAAACCCTGTTCAAAAAGTCAAATGAATCTAAAGATATTGCATGTTTCTGTGCAGGAACACTATTGTCAAGATATCACCTCTTCCCAACTTGATGTAGAGAGTCACTGCAATCTCAGTCAAAATCTCAGCAAGTAATTTTGTAGATATCAACAAACTAATTCTAATATATGGAGAGATAAGACCCAGAATTGGCAACACAATACTGAAGGAGATAAAGTTGCAGAACTAAGTACCCAACATCAAGAGTTACTATAAAGCTACAATAGTCTAAACAGAGAACAGACATATAAATTAATAGAACAGAATATACAGCCCAGAAATAGACCCACTGTATATAATTAGTATATAATATATATGACTATATATGTATAACTATATGTAATTATAAATAATTATATAYAACTATACATAGTTACATATATAATTATATATATAGTTATATATAATTAATACATATTACAACTGTGAGAAATAAAAAGTTCAATCGTCCATATTTAGAATATAGTAGTTAGCCTGAATTGGGATGTAAGATCCAATTGTAGTCATTTTGAGATCCAATTGTTACAATTTTAACTATAGCCCTTCCCTTGGCCTGCCCCAATTTTAAAACTGACCAAAAGTATAGATTGTAACCCTGAGCTCCTCCTATCAGACCAAGGGGCAGTGCTATGTTAGGAATTAAAACAGGTAGACTTCCTGCCCAAGTGTGCTTGCTTGCCAGACTTTTGTAGCACCCCCTTCTGCATATGTAAAGTTTTCCTTGTCAAGATACTTCCAAGCATGTTTGATTCCTTGTGGCAACCCAGTATTTCTTTTTTTCAAATAGTTTATGAGTTATTGATGGATCTTTATTTATTTGCTTATATGTGGTGCTGAAACTCGAACCCAGTGCCTCACACATGCTAGGCAAGTGTTCTACCACTGAGCCACAACCCAAACCCAGTATTTCTAACAATTTTGGCAACAAATGTGGGGGCTCCATATGTCA